TACGGAGGAGACCATATAATTTTCCACAAACAAGTCGGTACAAAAGACCTAACCAAAAAAACAAAAGGTCGGTACAAAAGAGTTGTATCTTTCAGACTACGTTGTTTATGAAAAAAAAAAAAAAAAAAATTGTACACAACCACTATAAAGGGGCAGCCTCAGGCTCGTTGAGGGGAAAACAAGCAATTATTGCGTCTCTCCTCAAAGAGAGAGAGAGAATGGAATCTGCTGCAGAACTGCCTACCATCCTCCCTCCACCACTAGCACCTGCTGCAGGAGGATCACTTTCTTCTTCCACTCTGGACCTCGAAGCCCCAACAATTGATGAGCGACACCACCATCATGAGCGTGCAGCAGATCCTAATAATGATGGTGGTGTCGGTATTGCAGTAGTACATAATAAAGCTGCTCACCACGTTCATTTGGATTGGCCAATGATTGTAATGGGGTTTTGCTTCTCGTGGGCAGGTGCAATTGCTCTTCAATCCTTTCAAACTTGTGCCCCACTCTCACTTTCTGTGAGCTTCCACTTCCTGTGTCTTGCAATGGTAGTCGCTGTCGCTGCTCTGTTTGTGTCCAACTACATCTCTCCCAAGTTCCCAAATCGAGCCCAAGTCCTAGAGCATATGGGGGTCCTCTTTGGTGTCACCGCCTTCTTCTTCGCCATCACTGTACCTTTCTCGCTCTGCCTTAAGCTCATTTACTGGACCGTCTATGCTCTTTCTCTGCTTGTCATTTTCCTCTGTATTCGACTTTAAGGACTACTAGCAGAGTTAGGCATCTGTCTGTTATTATCAAAATTAAGGTTTGCGTTCATGCACGCATGTTGTTCGATTAATTGCCAGAATATTTGTTTGTTAGTATTGCTTGTGTGGATAGAGTCCATCAGTACAATTCCGGTTTATCATTGTTGATTTGTAGCTCGAGTGAGCATGCCTTCTCAGGTCCCTTCAATGGGTAAGTGCTTGCGTTGCTGGTCTAAATTAGTTGAAATAAAATTATTGGTGTATCTTTAATTTACATGTTGGTAATACTGAGTAGCACTTGATGTGAACACTTGGTCTAATTTTTTTTTAGCCCCACCATTTGGATTATCACAAAAACCCAAAAGAAAATGTCAATTCATTAATTAAATAAATTCTTTTTCTTTTATGCATTTAGCGAATATAAGAAAAGGAAAGCAGAGAACAAAAGGAAGTATGAACAAAACTCTCGTGCTTAAATGAGACTGGAAATTTAAATTTTGTATAAATGGTTTTAAACAAGAAAAAACAGGAAGGAAAATGACAAGTAAATTAAACATTTTCCCTAAGACTAATATACGCTAACGAGTGGTTAGGAATGATAAGGAAGTTGCCGAATGTCAAGAATAAAATAGAGAAGGCGGCCTCCAGGCCACGTTGGCTTGACTTGAGCCGATATTCGTAAGCCTCCATCTCTCCCTGATGAAATGACATAATTTAATTGTGGCTCCATTTTTTCCGCAATAAAATATTCTTTTTGAAACATATATTTCTGTTTTTTCAGGTAAAATATTATTTTATTTTTATTTTGTTAGTTTTTGGCAAAAATTTAGGTCGATATTGAGGTCGAGTCCATCAGGTGAGACATGTGAAATAAGTTGCTGAAAATTAATGGATAAGTTATTTTTGTTAAATTTTAATATATATATATTTTTTTTGTAAATATTTTATAACAACCAAATACCAGAAAATAAAAAAAAAAAATTGAAAAATATTTTACGTCCAAACAAACGAATTCCATAAAATATTTTCTTCGAAAAATTTTTATTTTTATTTTTTTAATATTTAGTAAAGGTTTAGGTCGAGGTTAATGATGAGTTTATTGGCGGGACATGTATTTAGTTTGTTGAAAATTGATACGCAAGTTATTTTTGTTCAATTTTAAAATATTTACGACAGCCAAATACCAAATATATATATATATATATATATATAAATATTTTACATCTAAGCTTAGTGTTAGAATTACTAGCATAGGTTATGGAACAGTTCCAATTATAAATCGAAATTTGTTTGTTTGGACGTAAAATATTTTTCAGAATTTTTTTTTTTTTTAATAGTGTTTGGTTGTCCTAAAATATTTACAAAGAATAAATATATTAAAATTTAACAAAAAATAATTTATCTATCATTTTTTGATAAATTATTTTACATGCTTCACCCGATAGACTCGACCTTAACCTTGATGTAAACCTTTGTCAAATACTGACAAAGTAAAAATAAAAAAATATTTTACCTGAAAAAAAACAAAATCAAAAAAAATATTTTACGTGAAAACAGAATCTAAATGATTTAAATCATCTGTGCTTGCATGATGGTGTTGTGAAGATTCTTGGGTTTGGGCTTCGACCTTATGCCCTACCCAATTGGGCCATAGCCTCACAGGCTTGGACCGGAATTGGGCCAAGTTTTGGGCCTTGGACTTGCCGCTACTGTGAGAGTAAATAAAAGGCCAGAGCAGACTCATATTTGGATGCTACTTTTGGAAATGGAGGTGTTGATAGAATTCTTTTTTGTTAAAGAAAAGAGTAATGAAGGAGCATTACCCCCACACACTGCCACCACTTTCTTCCTCTCCCGAGGCAGAAACAGCGGTGGTTGGACACCGTAACCAACATCAGAAGCCGGAGCCACCACTCAGTATTCATCCCTTTGGCAGAATGCGAACTAACCTCCTCTCTCTCGGTCTTGCAATGGCTGTCCAAGACAGAGCAAGAGGAACCAAACAATATAAATATATTCTTGTTTGAATTGCTTGAAATCAGTAGATAAATATTCAGACGAAAATAAAGTCCCATTAAACATATTTTTACGCTCAAATGAAATTACAATCTAAAAATTTCCTAAAAGTGGTGGAGACACTTTTCTCCCACACTTTTCCTCATAAATGTCTCTCTATTAACATCCTTTTCATTGTAACCAAATAAGCAAAAATGGTTTTGTTTGCTGTCTTTCTATTCTTCTTTTTCCTCTTTAAATCCATGAATCAAACAGAGCATAAGAAAGGGGTGCTGTACTATTTGTCTAATTTGATACATAAATTAACAATTAGAGAACGGCGCCTTCATTGTTCTTAAAGGTAAAAATGTTGGATACAGTTGAAATTCTGATTCACAAAATTTTCAAGTAAATTGTGTAAACAACGTAAAATCAACCATTGATGGGGAGATGACTTTCGATTCAATATTCTTACTGCAAATGGCAATCATAAAGGATTCAAACAAATAAATGCGGTAAAAAACAAATAAATAATTGAAACATCTTCTACCATAAAACTTTTTCTTCCTGCCTAAAGCTTGGATTCTGTTTTCCAGAATTAATATTGTGTGTGAACATCACATCTGAGAACAAAAATTTTAGCTTATGTAAGTAAGTACATTGAACCATTGTCAAATTTTAGGTATGAGTTTCTAGAGTGCACTACTATACACTAGCTAGTTAATACGATGAAGAACAGGATCTGCAATTTTACTTTGCAGACTACTTATACGGTAAAAACATCGATAATCAATCTAACAAATAACTTGGCATCTTTCATATTTAATGGGGTCTTTGAATATTATACATCTTTCTTTTTTCTTTTTTTTTTTTTTCTTCTTTTTTTTGTCTTATCATGTAATTATGTTTTTTGTCTTTTAGATGGGCAGAGGGCAAAATAGTCCTCTCAGCCCAAAAATACCCATTGTACATTTGTACTATTGCAACCTGACATTTTAGATGGGCAGAGGGTAAAATAGTCCTCTCATCCCAATAATACCCATTGTATTCTTGCCACGTGACATTTTAGATTGGCAAGGGTAAGATAGTCCTCCAATCCTAACTCGACTGCAAACTTGAGGTTTTGGTCCTACATAGAAAGTAATCCGGCAAATGAAAATGAAGTTATAGAGAAATGGTATAATATGCTCATTGAAATGTGACGTGGTCTTGGTCACACATACAAGATAAGTCTTGCCGATGAAAATGAAGTTACGAAGAAACCATATGAATATTTACTCATTTGACCATTACAAATTTACAATGTGAAAATAGTTCAAAGGAAGTTACGAAGAAACCATAAAACATATATTCATTGAGGAACCAGTTAGATGGACAGGTGTAAAATAGTCCTTCTATTCCAAATTGAGTGCAAACTTGCAATTTTGGTCGCCCATGCAAAATAGACCTGCGGATGAAAACGAAGTTATGAAGAAACCATGTAATGTACTCTCTTCTTACAATTCCAAATGCGACTTTTCACAAAATAGTCCAACCGGCGAAAACAAATACTCCTATAAAATAGTCAGAGCCGTTCGAAAAGGAAGTTCCGAAGAAACCGTGTAATTGCATTAGCAGCCCACCTAACAACAAAAGGCAAGTATACCCCTATAAAAAAGAGCAAGCCTCACTTGAGGAAACCACAAGCAATTGATTTGTCCCTCAGAGAGAAGGAGAATGGAATCGGCTGCAAATGTAGTAGAACTGCACACCACTCCTCCAGTACCCCTACCACCTTCTGCTGCAGGAGGATCACTTTCTTCTACTCTTGACGTCGAAGCCGCCGCAGCAACAATTGATGAGCCTCCTGCAGATCTTAATAATCGTGGTGTTGGCGTTGCAGTAGTACACCAGATTAATCTGGATTGGCCGATGCTAGTAGTGGGGTTTTGCTTCTCGTGGGCAGTTGCAATTGCTACTCAATCCTTCCAAGCTTGTGCTTACAGATTTTCTATAAGCTTACACTTGTTGTCTCTGGCAATGGTAGTTGCTGTGGCTGCCCTATTTGTGTCCAAGTACATCTCTCCCAAGTTTCCAAATCCAGCTCAAGTGCTAGAACATGTGGGGGTCCTTTTTGGTGTCACCGCCTTCTTCTTCGCCATCACTTTACCTTTCCCACTGTGCCTTAAGCTCATTTACTGGACCATCTATTTTCTTGCTCTGCTTGCCATTTTCGTCTGTATTCGACCGTTAAAAAGTACTGCATGCTAGCTCTCCCGATTCAGCATTAATTCTGAGGTGAAGTGGACAGGTCATGTAATAATCCCAGGTTACAGATCCTCCGTACGTAGTAGTAGTAATTTATCACCTGTTTCTGAGGCACTTAATTAAGCACTAAGGACTCTACTTGTAGAGTTAGGGTCTGTCTGTTACTAAAGAAATTATGGATCTGTTCGTGCATGCAAGTTGTTTGATTAATTGCCACAATCTTTGTTTGTTAGTATTACTTGCGTGAATAGAGTCATTGGTACAGGTCCGGTTTATAATTGTTGATTGAGTGAGCATGCCATCTCAGGTCCCTTGATGGGTAAAATGCTTGTGTTTCTTGTCTAAATTAGTTGAAATAAATCCATTTATGTATTCTTTTATTTACATGTTGCTATACTGAGCACTACTTAATGTGAACACTTGTTATCAAGGAAAGTTTGAATTCATCAATTCAATAAAATTCTTCTTCTTTCCTGCATTTAGTGAATGAAAGAAAAAGGGAAATCAAACAACAAAAGGAAGTATGATTTCTTTCATACTTTTTTCTCATGCTTCCATGAGATTGGAAATTTAAAATTTGTATAAATGGTTCTAAACAAGGAAAATGACAACTAAAATTAAACATTTTCGCTCACTTCCTCTCATATTTTCTTCCCCCTCTTTTTTCTTTGATAATTTCCTTTGGAATGTCTTTTCTTGTTGCTCGCTAAATTTCTGAACTGAATGGGGCATAAAGGAGGGGTAGTGTTCCATATGACTTTCATGCATCAATTGAGAAATGGTGCACATTTGAAGCAATGATCCATTATTGACCACATCATCCCCATCCCTTAAGTAAGATGTCAGGTGCATTGAGAATTCTGATTTGCAAAGTTTTCAGATCTGTTGCATGAAGTATAATATCTTTTACCGTCTCATAAATTTTGTAAACAAAGAGTTAAAATCAACTATTGGTAGGGGAGAGGAAATCTTGATTCCAACACCCATACTTTCGTTGCAAATTAGCAACAGTAGCAGATTCAAGCAATGAATTCTATCAAAATTATAGTATTGATAATAACGATTCCACAATTTCTTAAACCAAATTGTCACCATTTTAAAGTTAATAAAAGACTATGCTTGAACATCTTCTATTGTAGTTACTCCTTATCCTTCCTGCCAAAGGGTGGACTCTGTATTACATAATTTGTATTAGTGTGAACGAAATACCTAATATCATAACTCTTAGTTTACACCATGAATATTGAAAAATAGGAATAATTTAGTTAACGTTCCATAGTAAATGTGTTCTTTTTTCTTTTTGTGCAATTAAAAGCATGTCTAGTTATTTATTTCTTTTTCAGGGGTCATCTTACAGAAGCTCTTGCTCTTGAGCCAAGCTGACAATTTTTTGTTCTCATCATGTAAACTTTTTCCATGTTAGCATATGGGAAACTGTTCAGATGCCGTTAAACTTGTATATGACATGTTCACTTTATTAATAGTTACATTGGTGAAAATTTAGAATTTAATTGTATACCAAAGCAATATTAATTTTTAAGATGCTTGATTTTTCCTGCAGTATGTATTGCTTAAGACTGTATTAATGCATATGGTATTTCTTTGAAAATTTTCATGTAAGGACTGAAATGCTCTTCATAGTCTAGTATGTTGTAATGTTATTCATTCCCATGAATGACAGTACCTCTTGTTGATAAAGTAAGAATCATTTGGTATCTCTCAAATTTGAAACTGATGTTGACTATGCTTATGTTCTTCAAACTTTGTATTTGAAGGAAATGGAGGTAACTAGAGAAGCAGAAGCTGGACCTTTGGTTTGAAAGTTCTTATGGATTCTTGTACAGGTACATGTTCTGTTATCCAACATTTATTTGCTCAGTTTGTTGATCATATGTAGATTTCTTGATTGGATTAAATTAAGTTGACTTGATAAAAACTTCTAGTTGAAACATAATTTATATTCCTCTTGCCACCATTTGTGTAATCACAAAAGAAAATGTGAATTCATTAATTAAATAAATTTCTTCTTCTTTCATACATTTAGCGAATGAAAGAAAAAGGAAAGCAAAGAACAGAAGGAAATATTATTTCTATCATCCTTAATTAAGTTTGGAATTTTAAAATTGTATAAAGGGTTGTAAACAAGGGAAAAGGAAAGAAATGACTAGTAAAACTAAACATTTCCCCTAACCTCATCTCATATTTTCTTTCCCCCCCTTTTTTTTGGTAACCGAACAAGACAGTATAGTTTACTTTGCATTCGCTTTTCTTCTTGCTCGGTAAATTTCTGAACCAGGTGGGGCATAAAGTAGGGGCAATGTTACATATGACTTTCTGGCATCAATTGAGAAATGATGCACATTGAAGCTGTGATCCACTACAAACCACATCATCACCGTCCCTTATGTAAAATGTTGGATATAGTTAGAATTATGATTTGCAAAATTTTAAAGATCTGTTTCATGAAGTTTAATATCTTTACCTACTGTCGAATAAATTTTGTAAACGAAGAGATAAAATCAACCGTTGGTGGGGAGACGGAATGTTGATTCCAACAACTATACTTTTGTTACAAATTAGCGACTTGTCTCTCCCCCGTTACTGTCCAACATGTCACCTCGGTCGCGGTGTAATGGACTCAGGGGAATATCGGTGTAAACAGGCCAAACCGACCGATTCATGGAGGTGTGTAACGGTATCGGACCCTTGAAAAAGGGTTACGAACTGGCCTATAGCAGATTCAAGCAATGAATTCTATCAAAATTATAATGTTGGTAATAACAACGCCACAATTTCTTAAACCAAATTGTCACCATTTTAAAGTTGATAGAAGACTATTTTTATACGTCTTCTATTGTAGTTACTCCTCATCCTTCCTGCCAAAGGTGGACTCTGCAATACATAATTGGTATTATGTGTGAACGAAATAACAGACATCATGACTCTTAGTTTACACCATGAATATCGAAAAATAATAATTTAGTTAATGATCTTTAGAAAGCAAAAACACAGTACTTGTGTGTAAAGAACAGGAGAATCTGTAACTCTGATTCAGGTTCCTTATAAAGACGTTGACAACTAATGCTATTTTATGTCATCTGGTGGGTAACTTTACTTCTTTCATTTCTTATAAGTCATATTGCTTTCATCCATAACAAATGTTTTATTTTTTATTTTTTATTTTTTATTTTGTGCTATTAAGAGCATGTCTATTTATTTATTTCCTTTCTTGAGCAAAGCTGGCATTTTTTGTTTTCTCATGTTGTAAAACTTTCCATGTTAGCATATGGGAAACTGTTCAGATGCACTTAAACCTGTATATGCTACGTTCACTTTATGAATAGTTACATTGGTGAAACTTTAGAATTTAATTGAATACCATATCAATATTAATTTTAAGAGGCTTGATTTTTCCTGCAGTGTGTATTAAGACTGTATTAATCCATATGTTATTGCGTTGAATTTTGTTATGTAATGCCTGAAATGCTCTTCATGGCATAGTATTTTGTAATGTTATTCATTTCCATTAATGACAATATCACTTGTTGATAAAATAAGAATCATTAATGTCAACCACATGGTATCTCTCAAATTTGAAACTGATCATGGCAATGATTATGTTCTTCTAAATTTGTATTTGAAGGAAATGGAGGTAACGAGAGAAGCAGAAGCTGGACCTTTGGTTTGAAAGTTTTAATGGATTCCTGTACAGGTACATGTTCTGTTATCCAACATTTATCTGCCCAGTTTGTTGATCATATGTAGACTTCCTGATGGGATTAAATTAAGTTGACTTGAAAAATAAAATCTCTTCATTATCCACTACTTTTGTGTTTAAAAAGTGTCCTTACAAAAGTTAAACCCATAGGATCACGTAATACCGTTGGTGACTGTTCGATTTAATAGAATGCTATTTTGCAGTACTTGTTTGATCAATTTGATTTATTAAAACCACATATAAATATTAAATATTCCTAATAACTTGAATTTTGGTACTTCCTCTTTGTTATTTGGTTAATTGATAACCCTGTGTGGCGCCCTTGCAGTATTTCGATTATTGGATGGACTACCTTAAGCATTGTAGCATAAAAAGTAACCTCTGTGTGGCCCTTGCAGTATTTCGATTATTTTCTTTTTTCCACCTTCAATTGAACATCCCGACTCCCTCTCGATTTTCTATCTGATGATGAGATGTAAGTGAATCCTATTAAGTAGGTGGTAGGTTATTTTATTAATTTAAATTAAGGATGTTCATTTGACGCATCATCCAATTGAATTCATGCGAATAAAATTGATTTTTTAGTCTCATAGTTTGATTATATAAATTAAAAAAACGATTCATTTATATTTATAATAATGAACAATTTAATTTAAAAAAAAAAAATAAATAAAAACACGTCAGCCATTAAAAAATTTCTTTACACTAGCGATAGAAATTGTCACAATTATTGGGATAGATGTATAATCTTCAAATATACCATCATTCTGTAGATCCAATATTCAACAATCAAATAAAATAATCCACAACACCATTGTATCATTAGAGATTGTAATCTATACTTCTATACATACAATCCTCCTCCACCACCATTACCAACCCAAAATTCAATTTAATGAATCTCAGAAAATTGAAAAGAGACCCATCAAACCCAACGAATATGGTTTGACACTCGAACAGAAGATGATTTTTGGTGATGTAATTCCATTGTTATAAGGATTCTGTGCTTTTGGATTGTAACTCTACTTTCTTTGGTCAATTAATGGAATCTTTCTTGCTTGCCTTGAATTAAAAAGAAAAAGAAAAGAAACCCAGTGAAAAAATCATGAATTTTCTTTCCCCAAATTATCATCTTCTCTCTTTCACATACAAGCCCTAATTTCTAAGCTTCATATGATTTTTGTGAAGGAAAATGGGACCGAAGGAAGTGTGTCATGGTGTACTACTGTCTGGGTCTTCTTTGAAGATCAAAGATAATCAAAGAGAGGGTCGCGGTAGAGAGGTGGGAGCACAGTAAAGAAAGATGGAGAAGAGAGAAAATTTTACAAAAGTGAATAAAATTTAGAGAAAGAAAAAGTATAGTCTGAAATGAAGATACTTTGGCTTTTTGAGGGCAAAATAGTCTTTTTACATGGTTAAACATTTGTTTGCCAGCTCATGAAATTAGTGAACGACGTGGCAAAACCAGAAAAAACCACATCACAGTTGGACAACCATTCGGCCCTTCAAGTTGGACATTGTATCGTTACTCTCAGTTTATAATCACTTCAAGTCGAAAAAAACTTGTGGAGTAATAATGCCAAAGCCAACCCCTGCACTAGGGTTGCAAGTTGGGCAGGCCCAACCCAACCCAACCTCAACCCGAATCGGGTTGGGTTGGGTCAACCCGAATTATATTTAACATGGGTTATAGTAAAACCCAGCCCGAATATTTTCGGGCAGGTCGGGTCGGGTTGAGTTTTTAAAAATAATAATATTTTTTTTTTCGGAAATTTCTATATATTATATATATATATATATATATATATATATTTGATTATATAATTATTAAAAAACAACAAAATTTTAGGGCAAATCATTTCAGACTCCACAATCGCACTGATTCTCAACTCTCTCTCTCTCTGTGCAACTGCAAACTACAAAATCTACAAGAATCAGAAGTTCAAATCCCATATATTTTCAGATTTGTCTGCAAGAATCAAAAGTTCAAAACCCATATATTTTCAGATTTGTGTTAATTTTATTTATTTGTTTTAAAACCCACCAAATCACCACCACCACTCACCGGAATGTGATGCCAACTGCAGAGCTCCTCCTCCGCCGCCACCCGAAGAAGAAACCCGCCCGGAACGTACAACAGATTGGAGCCGCCTCGCACGGCGAGGCCTCCGCCGTGGAATTAATATAAGTGTGGCAGAGACTGGTCGACGAACAATTCAACGGTGATGGGAGGAGGGAGTCCGAACAGTTCAGGTACAAGATGGTGTTACTGGCAAATCCAACCCATTCCGAAGCCACCCATCCCTACACAGATCGAACCCACCAACAACAAGCTGTCTAAAGTCAATAAAGCCAAGATCCAACCAATGGCTGTGATTAAACCAACAGATGATATCATCTCTAAGACGGCCGTCCTCTAGCGAAATCGCCGGAGCGAGGGAGAGGAAACCCAGATCTCCGGCGGGGAGGCAGGCGCCATCGCCGGAAAGAAGCAACATCGCCGGATGAGTCCCTTTTTCATGTTAGGACGGCGGTAGAGAGAGAAAGAGAAAGAAGAGAGAGGAGAGAGAAAGGAGAAAATAAAAATAAAAATTTAATTTTGGGTTTTGGGTTGGGTTCGGGTTGAGCCCGAGCCCAACCCGAATATGTTTGGGTTTTGACAAAACCCAACCCGAACATGAACCCGATTTGTGAATTGTATGTTCAGATTTCAAAATTTCTGGGTTTGGGTTGGGCTGGGCTGGGTTAACCCGCCCAAGTTGCAGCCCTACCCTGCACCTCACCTCTCAAAATGTGGTAGGGGTAATAATGCAAATTATGATGCTAGCTAATTCCCAATTGAGGAAAAATAAAGAACAGGGTGTATAACAATCCGAGAATGCTCAAATTATTGGTAGCCTGATGTATTTAATGAATTGTTCTAGACTTGATATTGCATATGCAGTTTATAGGTTGAGCAAGTACACTTAGAATCCTAACGAGGATCACTAGATAGCTCTAATTCGAGTACTCAGATATTTGAGAGGTACTCATGACTATGGGTTAATGTATAGTGGATTTCTCACTGTACTAGAGGGGTATAACGATGCTAACTGGATCTCTGATTTTGATGAGATGAAATCTACAAGTGGATATGTATTTACTCTTGGTAAGGGTGTAGTGTCTTGGAAATCTTCCAAACAGACATGCATAGCTCAGTCCACTATGGAATCCGAGTTCATAGCCTTGGAAAAGGCTGGGTCTTAGGCTGAGTGGCTTAGAAACCTCTTAGTAGATATACCTATATAGATGAGACCGGCTTCGTCCGTGTCTATGCATTGTGATTGCCAGGCTGTAATAGCCAGAGCAAAGAATAAAATATATAATGGGAAAAACAGGCATATACGCCTAAGACATAAAATTGTGAGGCAGCTGCTTGAGACTAGGGTGATATCCCTAGATTTTGTGAGATGAATTTGGCAGATCCTCTGACAAAACCACTAGGCAAAAAACTAGTGAGTGATACATTAAGGGGGATGTAACTTATGCCTAGGACAAAAGTTAATAGTGATAGTAACCCAACCTATGTGAATGGAGATCCTAGTAAGTAGGTTAAAAACAAGTTACTGGTTGATCAGGTAGAGTGCATTATCAATTTTATTTTTGAGAATCCCTCCTTGTGGTGTAGATAGTGCAAAACTATAACGTAAGAGGTTGAATTAAAAATTCTTAATGAATTCCATATCCCTTATGGGTGGTGTGTGTAGTTACAGTACACACTTGATGGATTCACCTATATAAGTGTGGAGGTGGGGCCGCCTCCTATGAGAGCTTAGGCAGGCTTTCTAGAGCATTCGTGAAATCCAGGTAGGGCGCAAGGCCTATTCGCGCCAACCCATTATGAACAACTTCAATATAGAGATAACAATGTGGGGAGTTAGTTGTTTGGTTTACAATAAGAAATCTTGATTTATAGAAACATAGTTCCACCAATTTTTCTGTAAATCACAGTTTACTTCCCCAGGGCTGGTTCATAGTTCTAAAGACACCAGTTCCGATGCATTGGGTTCTCATGGTCCTATGGTTACTCCTCTAGTTTCTCCTTTGGTTACTTTTCTTACTTCTGTATTTTGAAATATGTGGGGGATTGTTGTATATTAATGTATTTCAAAATACGTATATATATTTTAACATTTCCCATATGTACGTTAGCTTATTATCATCAACTACATATATTAACTTACCCTAATATCTTCAACAACACAATAACGTGTCATCATAATATCCTGTCACTACTGATATTGTGCAATTATATCTGGTTATAAATACATTTGGATGTCTCACTGTTTTGGCACTGAAAACCATCTTAGTCTTCTGCAATATATATATCCAGAGAGTTATATAGTTCACTATTTTCTTCTCTGATTGTTTTTCTGGCTTCATATTATTTGGCTATCATTGTTTCATGCTCTACAATTCCACTGACCAAAAGACTATATTAAAGTTGTTCAACTTCCACTGCACTACGAGTGTACTTTTGCAGTGGATTTTTTTGCTGTTGTATCCTGGAGAGTGGAACGCCGTAACCTACTACACCGAGATATCATCTCAGAGGGGTGGATCTACTCTTAAGGGTAGTGTATTCACACGCCTCAGCTAAGTCCTTCGTATATTTTATTTTCCTACTCTTTGTTATTTCCCATAACATAGCAATACTCTATATTTCTCTTGATATTCAAGCCTCATGAACCCCATCTGGTTGTGGAGTTCAATTGAATTAGGATTGAATTGAATTAGGTTTAATGATCATATCCCTGATCACGGGTTTAAACCCCCATCTGGTTGTGGAGTTCAATTTATCCTAATTGAATAATCTTAGTTCAGAGTTCTGCAGCCAGGGTTAGGCTGTTCTAATCTTAATCCAAACATTGTCCATTTACTCAATTTAGGACACGCGTCACATGCCAGAGTTCGGTGTCAACTGTCCAACCACATTCAATGTAAGGAGGTTACGTTGAAGAAAAATACTAACGTTAGAAGCATCCCAAAACAAAAACAAGAGAATGGAAGGGTCTTAGGGCAGAAAAATTCCCCCTGTTCAAAAAAAGGAAATTACGGAGAGAGACTTTCCGAGAGCGTAAAAAAAAGGTATAAAAAGTGCAGCCAATGTGTTGAGTTGAGCAAAACAAGCCTCGGTCAAAGAGAAAGAATCAATGGAATCGCCTGCAGATCTGCCCACCAACCCTCCACCCCAAGTACCTCAAGGTACTCTGGACCTCGAAGCCGCAACGATTGAGCAACTCCACCAACAGCCAGCTGCTGATGCTCCCGCACTGGTGGTTCCACCTCCTCTAAATAATGGTGTCGCTGCCCTAGTACCTAATAAGAATAATAATGATGATGATGATGCTCATCACCAGATTAATTTGGATTGGCCAATGATGGTAATTGCGTTTTGCTTCTCATGGGCACTTGAAATTGCTATTCAATCCTTCCAAACTTGTGCCCCACTTTCACTTTCTGTGAGCTTCCACTTGCTATGTCTCGCTATGGTTGTCGCTGTTGCTGCGCTCTATGTGTCCAAGTATATCTCTCTCAAGTTCCCAAATCAAGCCCAAGTGCAAGAGCATGTGGGGGTCCTATTTGGTGTCACTGCCTTCTTCTTCACCATCACTTTACTGGACCATATATGCTCTTTCTCTGCTTGCCTTTTTTCTCTGTATTCGACGTTAACCAGTACTGCATGCTAGCTCTTCTGATTCATTCATTCACCTGTTTCTGAGGCATTTATATATGTGCACTGGGAGTAGGGACTAGTACTAGAGTTAGGGGTCGGTCTGTTATTTTAGAAATTAGGTTCGATTGTGCATGCAGGTTGTTCGATTAATTGCCAAAATCTTTGTTTCTTAGTATTACTTCAGTGGATAGACTCATTAGTCCAGTTCCTGTTTATCATTGTTGATTGAGCGAGCATGCCATCTCAAGTCCCTTCATGGGTAAGTGCTTACGTTGCTTATCTAAATTAGTTGAAATAAATCATTTGTGTATCTTTAATTTACATATTGTTAGTTATACTGAGCTGTACTTGATGTGAACACTTGATCCAAAAAGAATTTGAGTTGAATTATAATTTCCAATCCTCTTGTCACCATTTGGATTATTACAGGAAGCCCAAAAGAAAATGTGAATTCATTAATTAAATAAATTTATTCTTCTTTCACGCATTTAGTGAATGAAAGAAAAAGGAAATCAAAGAACAAAACGAAGTATGATTACTTTCATACTTTATCTCAAGCTTAAATGAGAGTGGAAATTTAAAATTTGTATAAATGCTTCTAAACAAGGAAAAAGGAAGCGAAATGACAACTAAAATTAAACATTTTCCCTTACTTCCTCTCATATTTTCTTTCCTCTGTTGTATCTTTAATAACCTTCTTTTCATTATCTTTTCTTCTTGCTCGCTAAATTTCTGTACTAAATGGGGCATAAAGGTGGGGCAGTGTTTTATACGACTTTCATGCATCAATTGAGAAATGGTGCACATTGAAGCAATTATCCACTACGGACCACATCATCACCATCCCTGACGTAAGATGTTGGATACACTTCGGAATTATGAAAGTTTTCAAGATCTGTTGCATGAAGTTTAATATCTTTACCAACTGTCCAATAAATATTAACTCCCAACATCCATACTTTCATTCCAATTTAGCAACTGTAGCAGATTCAAGCAATGAATTCTATCAAAATTATAGTATTGATAATAACAATTCCACAATTTCTTAAACCAAATTGTCACCATTTTAAAGTTGATAAAAGACTATGCTTGAACGTCTTCCATTGTTGTTACCCCATATCCTTCCTGCCAAAGAGTGGACTCTGAATTACATAATTGGTATTATGTGTGAACGAAATAACTGACGTCATATCTCTTAGTTTACACCGTGAATATCGAAAAATAGGAATAATTTAGTTAATTATCTTTGAAACACAAAAACATTAGTACCTGTCTATAAAGAATCAGGAGAATCTGCAACCCTGATTCAGCTTCCTTATGTAGTAAAGACATTGATAACTAATGCAATTTGATGTCATCTGATGGGTAACTTCACTTCTTTCATTTCTTATAATTCATTGCTTTCATGCATAACAAATGCATTGTTTTTTTTCCTTTTTGTGCTATTACTGGCATGTCTATTTATTTATTTGCTTTGTTTTTTGGGGGCATCTTACAGAAGCTCTCGCTCTTCAGCAAAGCTGGCATTTTTTTTTTTCCCCACATAACATGTTAACTTTTTCCATGTTAGCATATGGGAAACTGTTCAAATGCCCTTAAACTTGCATATGACATGTTCACTTCATTAATAGTTACATTGGTGAAACTTTAGAATTTAATTGAATACAAAGCAATATTAATTTTTAAGATGCTTGATTTTTCTTGCAGTATGTATTGCTTAAGACTGTATTAATGCTATGGTATTTCTTTGAAAATTTTCGTGTCATGCCTGAAATGCTCTTCATAGTATAGTATGTTGTTATGTTATTCATTTCTATGAATGACAAATATCACTTGATAAAATAAGAATTATTAACATCAGCCACATGGTATCTCTTGAATTTGAAACTGATAATGACTATGCTTGTGCTCTTCTAACTTTGTATTTGAAGGAAATGGAGGTAACTAGAGAAGCAGAAGCTGGACCTTTGGTTTGAAAGATTTATGGATTCCTATACAGGTACATGTTCTGTTATCCAACATTTATCTGCTCAGTTTGTTGATCATATGTAGACTTTTTGATTGGATTAAATTAAGTTTACTTGATTAATAAGATCTCTTTGTTATCCACTACTTTAGTGTTTAGAATTTGTCCTTACAAAATTAAAAGGATCACGTAATACCATTGGTGATTATTCTATTTAATAGTGTGTTAGTTGCAGTACTTGTTTGATCAATTTGATTTATTAAAACCACATATAAACATTAGAAATGCCTAATAACTAGAATTATGGTACTTCCTCTTTGTTATTTGGTTAATTTATAAGCCTGATGGTTGTATGGACTGAAACCTAAGGCTCCGATGTAGAGTTGCGCAAGGTCCGCGATCTAGACCGGGTGGGGGAATAGGTCTTGTGGGTTGGTTTAGCTATTCTTCACTAACTTTTGAATTTTTAACTAAATTACTGAAATTCCATATTCAAATTATAACTAAATATCAAAATCGATTCAATTCATCATGGTAATCAATCATGCAATAATTTAAAGCAGCATATTTGAAGATGGACGCAGGGATTTTTACATGGACAACCTAACCAGGAAAAGCTACGGGACCTAGTCCAGGAAAACTAAATCCACTAAAAAAAGATTTACGTTAAAGTTCTGAATTACACAGATCGATTCACCAACTCTCCATTCCAGTCTTCAAGCTGCAATTAACTCATCAATAGGTATCTACTACTCAAGTCAGTGACTCAGTTTCCACTTTCCAACCAACTAGTCATCCTACACAATCTTTGAATCATTGAACAGTAATTTTGGTGTTGAACATCTCAATTCGCAGCAATGATGCACACCAATTATAATGCAAATTGATGAATGCAATAAAAAAAATATGAAAAAACTCTAGAACAAAAAAATAGATGCTCTCTCTATGTATCTCCTATATGTTCTGTGTGTTTGTAATCTGCCCTGCACTAGTGTATTTATAGGCAAACTGACAGTGTAGCAAAAGTAGGAGGCATAAACTGCTCCGATACACTGTTGGAGTTTCAGCTGAAGCATAAAATTTATATGAACATGTGTTACAATTGAAGCAGACAATGTGTAAAGATTAGTTTGTAGACGTACAACAGGCTTCTTTGTGAAACATGAGAGGGAACTTTCTATTAAGACACTTGCATTTCTAATTTTATAGATTTTGAAGTATTACATCACATGGAATACTTGGTTCCTTATATAAGACTAAGCTACATAGTTACATGTAACTCCCCAAGAATTCATTTCTCAATCATATATGTATCTTCACGTCAAGTTTATGTTAGACTATTCTAGGAAAGTTTTTATTATATTTCCAACAACGTGATGGTTAGGCTGGAATTGTTGCTTTTGTAGATGGTGCTAACACGAGCGAGATTTTTAATGGGCTATTTTGACACCAATTTTATAGGTTCACTTGAAGGTGGACTAAAGAGCAGTTGTGGTAGTGGTAATTGGTGCTGGGACTTTACCTTAGAGAACTACAATGATTAAAAACTTTTGACTATGTGGAGATTTTCTTCTCTGAAGAGGCATTGCAATGGCTGCCATATTAAAGTTGGTTAGTATTCAGTAATTAATCTTGTGATTTCTTCTGAACAGTGTCTACTTGATTAAATTGCCAGGGGTATATTACATATTCAGCAGTAGATATGCTGGTTTCCTTCATCTTGCCTTTCTCACCTACTTATGATGACAAATAGGTCTAGTTGCTCGCTGTTATCAATATTCATGCTTTGTTATCCTATTTGTTTTTCCTACTATTTTTTATTTTTATTGAGCTCTCCTTGCTTGCTTTGGTTCAATGTTGCTAAACTATTTTGAACACCTCTGACTTCATGATTCCTTCTTTGTTTTCATTTTCTTTCAAAGAGAGTAATGAAAGTTATTGGAAGTACTGATATTTTATGCTGCTACTGCTCTTAAAGCACCGGGGAAGGGCTGCTCTCATCATTAAGAGACCATTCCTAAACCTCAATAGGTGTTGGACCAGCTGTCGAGAGAATGGGTACCGTAAGTTATTCATGCTCCTCGAGCTCTCTCTAGCTCCTGGCATATTTATCCAAACACCATGCAGGTACTGGTATTGTTTTGACTTGCCTTTCATGTTTTTTCCTGAATATTTACTGATTAGCTAACTTGCCTGTGGGGGTCATATTTCATAGATGTGATTAAATAATGCTACCTGAAGATGTTGATGTCTTATCAATTCATACATGCAGGCCCCGCGCTTAGTTATATACACAATAGCCGAGTTAGGATCTTGACATGCTTTTAACAAAATATCTGTTAGTACGAAAAAATTAAAGGTTACAGCTTTTAAATTTTCATGAGATACAACACAATATCTATTATTATTATCTTGTAATTTTATACATGAAGGAAATTAAAGTGACCAGAGAAGCATAAACTGGACCTTTAATTCGAAAGTTTTAAGGATTCCTATACGGGTACACTTTGTTTCTCCACATCTATCTTCTGAGTTTTTCGTATTATGTGTAGGCTTCTTGATTACAACCAATTCAATTGAATTTAGTAAATGAAATTGCTTTATCACGTACTACTTTATTGTTTCAACATTCAAATGTTTCGTTAGAAAGGTAAAACATACTGGATCACGTAACAATGTATGGTGATTGTGTTATTCAATGATGTGTTAATTGCATTAGCACTGCCTAACATAATTTTTATATAGCATTTCTTCATTCCGCAGCATTATTGATGTGCTTGCCAGGAAAAGATTCAGCAGAGTAAATTTCAACTTTAAGAACGTATCTCATGTTATGAGTTTCATTTCAATGAGAAGTTACTAGGGACCTCATCTTTTTGGCTCCATGCATGTAAGACACTGAAACCTTCAAGGCATCCATTGTTAGGTTCCTTTAAATGAAAATTCATTAAAAATTTTGCTCCCAACTAAAATGTAGAGTTGACTTAACACTTGCATCTATGAGGGAACTTAAGCACTAACTAGTCTCATTCAGTTGAACTTCCTGCATTAGGTTGTGAACCGTCTAACTGTATACTTTGTGTTGATTCTCTGAGTCATGTTGGTTATAGACCATAAAGTTCATGTTCTTCTCTCACTGTCACGTTATGTTGTGCAAGGTTTGAGTTCCAATGGACTAATATACTAGGCAATGGAACTGAAATATGATGAAAATTCAAGTCTGACAGCAGCCACTTTGTGTTAAACTAAGCAAAAAGTTCTATCAAATTACAATCCTTCCCTCCCAACATCCTGCATAAGTGGGACATGCATTAGGTGGTAATGGTTTTCATGCATCTGAATTGTCCCATTTTCAGATTCAATCATGTCTTAAACTAGTGCTCTTGAACTTGCTAAAGCATTTACTAAGAGCTTATGTTTGTTTGAATTCTTTCAGCTGCTCAATGGTGACCTTGAATACATACCAGTTGTATTTTATTTATTTTTTAAAAATGAAGTGATTTCTGATGTTCTTTGCCTATATTTGCTATTAACAACCAACGGTCTGTTTGATCTTTGTACAGTGAGCAAGAGATTGTAATAACATGTCTTTGCCTTGTGCTGAATAAAAATTGACATACTTTTCCAATGAACGCACCAACTTCCATTCCAAGTTCTTCTGGTGTGTGGTCTCTGCCTTCTCTTTTTGATGAACAACTTTCAATTTGTTTGCAATTATCAGCTTTAGCTTTGTATTACAGTTATTTTCATTACATGTTTTGCTCCAATTTATAGCTTGAGAATTAGCAAAATCTATAAACGTTTTCACTTTTAGAAATGGACATCCTCTTAGGCGACCTTAAATTCTATTATGTTCTCTCTGCTTCGTCTCTTTAGAAGAGGAGGAAAGGGGCATCCTCTTAGGCAAGAAGAATCATAATTATGATTAAAAGAGGAGAGGAAAGTCATTGTGGCTCCAAATCTTTTTTCCTTCATTTTATTTTTTTCCTACTTGTCACACACACACACACACACATATATATATTGGCTTTTGCATGTATTTCACAATTAAACTACCACGTGCTTAAGAAGAGGAATAATGCCAGTGTGATCAGAGTGAATCAATAGTAGGATTAAACCTTCCCCTGTGAATGTACCAAAGAACCCCTACACCAGGGGACTAAGGAAGACATTTATCAATCCTTGGTAAGACTTCATAGACATTTTCTCATTAGCGTATTACAGTGAAAGTGGTACACTTGAACTTCCGCGTTCACAGGAAAAGAAAAGAAAATTCCGTTTTCACGTTATATACTGCCTATCTTTGTAGTTGCATTAATCAACATCCGGTGTTCATACCTTAATCAACCATAGTCATTGTTTCAACTTTCAACCACCTGCCTGTCAAACGATCCTTGTTAAATGTAGTATTGTTCTGACGTAATTATAGAATTTTGTCAAGGAAAAGTTGCAAAGAAGTACAACTTTTAAAGATTATGTTTTATATTTTATTGTAATTTTTTAAATTTAATTTAGTTTTAGTTTTAGTAAATTAATTAATATTCAATTGTAAATTTAGTTAATATCTGGTTCAAAAATCTCACTTTGATACACAAAAATTAGAGATTCTATAAATAAGCTTCTAAGGTGTTTTACTGGAATAAATAAATAAATGTTTTCAAATTACTTCTTTGTATTATAACAGTAAAGTTTTTATACTTAAAGAAAAGGGTCGTTATTTATGAATTAAAAGTACAAAATGACAACACACTAACTTCCAAATCCATCTGGTGTGGACTCTGCCTTGTCTTTTTGATGAACAGCTTTCAATTTGGTCGCCATCAGGTTTGTAGTAAGTTTGTATCAAAAATCAAAATTCATGATTAGTTACTTGGAATCTTCTTAATTAGATAAAACTGTTGAGGAATCGAACACATTTCGTTCTGCCATAGAATTATGTGGAATCCTTGGGGATCACAATAAGAACCATAAGTTTCACAAAATAATGCAAAAGAAAGAAAAGAGAGAGTTGAGTGGACGAGTTGGTTAGGAAAAGCGAGGCAAAAGAGTGGAGAAAGACCAATGAGGACAACATAAGACAGGTTAATTCGGAAACGGGGAAGATAGAGGAGGGAAAAGTAGAAAGAAGAGGAATAATGTCAGTCTGATCAAAGTGAATCAATGGTAGGATTTCACGAGGGACCAAGGAAGGCATTAATCAATCCTTGGTACACACAATCAATCAACAACCTATATCCGTCTTCACACCTTAGTCAACGACCTGTCTTTCCAACCTTAAATGGATTGTGGATCCCATGTAATTTTGGAATTTTGTCCAGTTGCAAAGTACTCCTTTAATCCTATATTTAAAAATGAGTGTTTTTAAAGATTGTCTCTTTTTAAAATTATCTTATTAGTAGTTTAGATAAGTATAATTATCAAGTTTGAAAATTTTTAAAAATATAAAGAATAATGATGGAAATATAAGACTTACTAACGTGTGGGGGCGGGGGAGATTGTCCCGTATCGTTTGATAAGTAAATTGTTTAAGTACCCTTATTTTATTAGTATATATATTTCTCACTATATATTAAGTATCATATATAACAATATTAAAAATAGCAAATAAATTTTATTAAAAGGAAAGTTGCAATAGTCAATAATTGAATACGAGGAAAAAAAGAAAGAGCAAATCCATTTCAACAATAATTAAATTATGGTCTTAAAGGAGCTGGGCGGGTATCCGCGGAGGTAAAAATGTTAAACGGTTACGGGAATGGAGTAGAAAGTTCTCCTATTTTTATGGTTTTGGACGGGAACGGGGGCGGGGTTTTTAAACTGTTGTGGGGGCGGGGAGGGTACACTCGCCCAAATCCGCCTTCGTTGCCATCCCTTCTTACAGTATTTGTTTTGACTTTTCGGATAACTAATTTGGAATATCTAAAAATAATATAGTGAACAACTAATATGGGACAGAGGGAGTATTTGTTTTGACTTTTCAAAGTGGACAATTAATTTGGAATATTTAAAAATGATATAGTGGACGATTAATATGAGGCAGAGGTAGTACAATTTTTAAAAATTACGTTTTAAATTTAATTTGTTTTTATATTATTTTTAATTAATTAATTAATATTCAATTATAAATTTAATTAAAATCTGATTCAAAAATCTCGTGTAGATTTTACGCTCTCTTCACATCTAAGTCACCCAATTCTTTTGAAATAGGTATCGTTCTCACGTTTCGAGTACTCTCACGCTCTGCACGCGCTCTCGCTCAAATTCTCACTGTTTATAATTTAATTTTGCCGCTCTCACACTCCCGCTCTCGCTCAAATTCTCACTGTTTATAATTTAATTTTGCCGCTCTCACACTCCCACTCTCGAATTTATTCTCTCTCCCGCTTTATGTGACTTAGTTTCATATTAGAAATTCAATAAATAGTTTTCTAAGTATCTTACCCGGGAAAAAATACTAATAATAATAAAATAAAATAAAAAATATTACTTCTTTTATTATAACAGTAAGTTTTTACACTTTAAGAAAAGGCTGGTTATTTTATGAATTAAAAGTATAAAATGACAATGACGGAGAGCCAAGTTGCCATTAAAAAATTAACTACGGAGCCACCACCCTTTGCAAAGGGTCGGATAATTAAAGGTAATCAACTACTGTATGACCTTTGGAAAAGCCATGGGATACTGGCTCCAACTTTTGGGTTTTGAATCAGACACAAATTGCAACTCCGTCGTGATAAGAAATTTCATAAGAGTCATGGCCCCATGGCAAGCATATATATAAAAAAAGCAAAAACCATAGCAGTTTTATTCACTAAACCGTACAAAATGGCAGAGAACTGTCTTCCTTCCCCTCCACCAACAAAGCCAGAAACACCAAACTCGCCGCCTCCGGCACCACTCCCTTCAGCTAGCACCGATCTTGAAGCCTCCCAGGATGCGCAGAAAGAGGGTGAACCAGAAGCACCAGCAGTACGGATACCAGTTCTTCAAGTAGCTCTGGATCATGATCATGATCATACCCACCCCAATCAATTGAATCACTTGCAGTTAATGGTAATAGCATTTTGCTTTCAATCTGCAGCAGAAATTGCACTTCAATCACTCCAAACCAGACTCCCCATAGCCTTCCACTTCATGCGTCTCGCCATGGTTGTTTCTGTAGCCACACTTTGCATCACCAAGTACATCCCCCGGCCCAATTTTTCAATTAAACTTTAGAATTTAATTGAATACAAAGCAATATTAATTTTTAAGATGCTTGATTTTTCTTGTCGTATGTATTGCTTAAGCTGTATTAATGCTATGGTATTTCTTTGAAAATTTTCGTGTAATGCCTGAAATCTTCTTCATAGTATAGTATGTTGTTATGTTATTCATTTCTATGAATGACGATTGTTGATAAAATAAGGATCATTAACGTCAACCACATGGTATCTCTCGAATTTGAAACTGATAATGACTAGCTTATGTTCTTCTAACTTTGTATTTGAAGGAAATGGAGGTAACTAGAGAAGCAGAAGCTGAACCTATGGTTTGAAAGATGTATGGATTCCTATACAGGTACATGTTCTGTTATCCAACATTTATCTGCTCAGTTTGTTGATCATATGTAGACTTCTTGATTGGATTAAATTAAGTTTACTTGATAAATAAAATCTCTTTATTATCCACTACTTCAGTGTTTAAAATTTGTCCTTACAAAATTAAACCCAAAGGATCGCGTAATACTGTTGGTGATTATTCTATTTAACAGTGTGTTTTTCAAATATTTTACTTCTTTGTATTATAACAGTTAAGTTTTTATACTTTTAAGAAAAAGGCTCGTTATTTATCGATTAAAATTACAAAATGACACTAACTTCCAAGCCCTTCTGGTGTGGACTCTACCTTCTCTTTTTTATGAATAGTTCTCATTTTGCTCGCCATTATCAGCTTTAGCTTTGTGGTAAGTTTGTATCAAAAACAAAAATTCATGATTAGTCATTGTGTTACTTGGAATTTCTGCCATAGAATTATGTGGAATCCTTAGGGATCATGTTTATCCCATTATTTTGGACAAATGGAAAGTTGACATGTGGCGAGTTCCAAGGTAACTTGTCACTCCCGATTAGTTCCAGAAACTGGAAGAGGAATGTTACCCTACAAGCGGTTTCACATAACATTCAGTATGGAACCACTCAAATCTACCACGTGGCACTAAAGACCAGATCAAGAGTAAGGGAAATCTGGTGAGATGAGAGCCCACCATAAGAGCATATATGGTCTATTACTGCCACATGGCAAACATCTAGAAAGCCATGTGTATCTTTGACCTAGTCATCAAGAATGGAAACTTCCCGCTCCTATAATATCTCCTACTTTGTAGGAGTCACTCCAAGAATATCATGTAAGAGTTATGACATGTAAAGAATGTCAAAAGTGGACTTATGTCCAGATTCATTGAGGAATTTTAGGAAGTTTTGCTAGATTATAGCAAAACTACTTGAAATAAAACATGAGTGGTTATTCAAATTAGTAGGGGACGTGTATGTAATGTAGTATATACATAATACACACACACACACATATATACACACACACACACACACAATTCAGAATTTTAGGAGAAAAAAGATTCGTTAACATGAAAAGGAAACCACCCACTCCTAAAATATTTCATATTTTATAGGAGTTGCCCCAAATATCATGCAACTACTATTTCATAGAAGAAGTGTTTGTAGAATGATATACGAAAAGGAGAATATATGACCAGGTTCATCAAGGGAAACTTTAGGAGTTTTTGCTAAATTATAGCAAACTACCTAATTGAAAATGTGGGTTGGTATTCAAATTTAATGAGAGATGTGTCCGTATCATGGTATATATATATATATATATATAACTCAGAATTCATAAAGAAAAAGGACTCTGCTTACAAGAAGGAAACCACCAAGACATGAGAAACTTGGCAGTTCAGAGATAAGCCAAGTGGAAGGTGTAATTGTTGCTGGAATTGCCGCCTTTCCATCTGGGCAGTTCCAGAACGTGGGTAAATGCTTGTAATAAGCATTCAACCAGCAAAACCACTCCTTCAAAATTGTAATTCATGGGACATCATGTTTTTACACGTGTCAATACTATGAGAAGACTAAGGGAGACATGAGATACTTGGCAGTTCAGAGACAAGCCAAGTGGAAGGTGTAACTGTTACTGGAATCGCTGCCTTTCCATCTGGGTAGTTCTAGAACGTGGGTAAATGTTTGTAATAAACATTAAACTAGCAAAACCACTCCTTCAAAATTGCAATTCATGGGACATTATGTTCTTACACATGTTAACACTGTGAGAATATTAAGAAAGACATGGGATACGTGGCACTATCCGGACCTTCTAGGTGGAAGTTTTCAACTGCTGCTGGAACTGCCACCTTTCAATCTGGGCAGCTCTAGAATGTGGGAAAATGCTTGTAACTTGCATTCAACCGCCAAGACCACTTTTTATAAGTTGTAGATCACGAGAGAATATGATTTTACATGTTTCAACACTATGAAAAGACTGGGGAAGATCATAGGACACTTGGCAGCCCAAGGACAAGGCAAGTGGAAGTTACTGGAACTGCCACATTTCCAACTCCTGCAAGAATACTCTATAAATAGAGCACTTTGGCCTAACATGCAATTCCTGCTCAGCGCACACCATACATCAATACAACATCTTTGCTATTTAATTTCAATCTATGTATTTCTCATTCCAGCAATGAATTTATATAATGTTTAATTTAAGTCCAGCACTTTGTTATTCCATGTAGCTCTCATTCTAGCAATTAATTTTCATAATGTTTGAGTTAAGTCCTGCACTTTTTTTTTTTTTACTATTTTCTAGCAAGTAGTTTTCAATACTTTCAATTACAAGTCCTGCACTTTCTTTCTTACATTTCAGCAATTACACTTTAGTTGTTTTATTTCAAAGTCTTGCACTTTCAATTCTGTCTTACTTTCCACTAGCATTAGAACAATCCCGAAGTCCTTTTTCAAGGCAAAAATAACCTCTGGAAGTGGTCATTCCAAGCTTCCTTTCAATCACCTGGTCCCGATTACTTTTCATTGGAATATTGTTTGGAGCTCCCCTTTGGAACGATAACAGTTCCTGATATGCCCGCAACTCACTTCTTTCCACTTGCCTAGAAAGGACCACAATTTTTAAGAGCCAAACATATTGGCACGCCCGATGGGACATCTAGACAGATTGTTCCATGGCCGGTGGAAGAAGGCAAGGCATGTCTGTCTAAGACCTTATCGAAATAGAAAAGATGCAAGCTATTGAACTTCTAGTGGAAAGTTTACGAGTTGCACCCGAAGAAAGAGATATGGTTGAAAAGTTTGCTCAAACAATGGCAAACGGGCCTATTATGGATAACATCCGCATAATGGCTATCCAACAAGATATATATGCTCAAGATCAAACATTCTCAAAAGCGGAAGTTAAAAGATTCGGTAAACCGAAGCTCTCATAGATTTGAATCTATGTTAGAACGGTATAGCCTCTAGGCCAAACAATTCTGAAGGGACTCAACAATCAGCATTTCAAGTCAATAAGCTGGATACATTTGTTGAAGGTAGTACCTCTCAACAACATGTAAGTGCAGTCTGTTCCAATGACGCAAACCCACATTCCAGTAGTACATGTGGTCTCTCCAGTGACGCAAATGTCCATTCCACAATTAGTGCCCATGCCAGTCACTCAGCAGGTTTTTGAACCCTCCACCGATGGTGTTTCCATAACAGACTTGGCATGATCAGCCTGGCCAGCCGTTTCCACACCACATTCCTCAAGGAAAACAGAATGTTTCACTTATGAACACTTAGCCAGTAGTAGCTACACCTCCAAGGTCACACATAGTTATTCATATGGCAGTTGGGGGGTAACCTTTTCCAATGGAGCCATTTCTAGATCAAGAAGGAAGAAATAGTTAGAGGAACAACCTTCTAGATGCTAACCCACTGTCAATGGCAGGTGAGGGGTAGCAATCTACCTCAAGGTTGGCCAGATAATAATCTTCCACAACCCATGATACTTGATAAGGGCCAATTTACAAAATTCCTCCAACAAGAGTTTGGCTTAACAGGAAGGGGTGGAAGACCAGCTTATAGAAAACCCTACCCAGAGTTCATTGATGAAATTAAATATCCAGGGAATTTCATAATTCCAGAATTTACAACATTCAGTAGAAAGGGCGAACAGTCCACATTGGAACATATCAGCCGTTTCACTGCCCAATGTGGAAAAACATCAGCCAATCCATAGCTGAAGGTACGCTTGTTTCTAAATACACTGACTGGCTATGCTTTTAGGTAGTATTCCAACCTTCCAGCCAACTCTATCCAAAGTTGGCAGCAGTTTGACAACCTGTTCCATACTCAGTTTTATAGAGCTGAGCCTGAAGTATCCATGACAGACCTTTCCAGACTTCACTAACCACCTGGAGAGTTAGTGGACAGTTTCCTTTCCAGATTCAGAAAGGCCAAATACTAGAAAAAATGTGAAAATGGCTGTGAACGGCTTAGAGTTGGAACTTTGTAAGAAATTCGAATGAGTACAATTTCATGACTTATTTGACTTGGCCAGCAGAGTGGCCAAGTATAAAGAACTGCTTCATGAAAAGTATGACCGAAAAACCTCTTCCAAGGGTACTTACTATCGTGATCCTAACTATAAAGTGTTTGCCATGAAGTGAAAGGAGATCTTGAAGTCAATATGTCTAAGCTCAACATTAAAAAGGCATATACTTGTGAGGCCTTGGCAAAACCAAAAGCGGCTCCATCCAACTTGCAGGCCGCTTCCAGTTCCAAGTTGGAAGGGATAGACTCTTCCAAAAGCTATTCTTTTTACATTTCCAAAGCTGAGTAAATTTTTGATTTGGTTGTGGCTGATAACCAATTAATTTTCACAACAGGTCACAAGATGTCAACGGCCTCCGAAATGGTTGGGAAAGAGTTTTACAAATTCCATAACTCTTGGAGACATTTAACTAATAATTGCGTGATCTTCCGGAATATTGTACAAAAAGTAATAGAGCTGGCAGGTTGAAATTTCCAGAGAAATCAGAAGTGATGGGTGTTGATGGAAATCATTTCCCCAAGTTTGTTTCAGCAAATGTCATTGCCTTGGCTTCGAAATACCCTAGGCAAAGGTCCGGCGGACCCAAAAGCCAAAGAAAAGTTAGAAATTCCAGAGGTAGCAATATCTATGGAAAGGATAGTTGCAGAGTTAGAAAAACAACTTCTGCACGCCCAGATAGCCCTAATTCGGCAAGGTTGCTATCCAAAATGCAAAGGTCATTATGAAGGAGGTTAAAAAGACCTTTAGAAAGATAATCAAGTAGAAAAACTTTCCAACGACGACCGTGACAGAAAAGGAAAGTGCAGAATAGAGTTGTCTTCCAACTGTTGGAAAAGGCTATTATTGTAATTATTCCAGAAAAGAAAAGCCATATCCATTCTGAAATGAGGTATTCCTATTAAAGGAGACCTGCAATGGAGAGATGTGAATTCTTTCCTAGAAGTATAGCAAGGAATATGGTT